TCACTGTGATGTCTGGGGACCTTACAATCTTGCTTCCTCTTGCGGAGCTCACTATTTTCTAACTATTGTAGATGATCATTCTCGCGCCGTTTGGACTCATCTTATGCTAGCTAAAAGTGAGGTCGCCTCTTTACTTCAAAAGTTTATTGCTATGGCATCTCGCCAATTCAACAAACAAGTTAAAACAGTAAGAAGCGACAATGGTACTGAATTCATGTGTTTAAAGTCATACTTTGCTGAAAGAGGAATTGTTCATCAAACGTCATGCGTCTATACACCTCAGCAAAACGGGCGTGTCGAGCGTAAGCATCGCCACATCTTGAACGTTGCAAGATCACTCTTATTTCAAGCTGAACTGCCCACGAGTTTCTGGGGAGAGAGTGTTCTTACGGCTGCCTATCTAATCAATCGAACTCCAACTCCAATTCTTGATGGAAAAACTCCATATGAAGTTCTCTACTCCAAACCACCAACTTATGCTGAACTACGGGTATTTGGAAGTCTCTGTTTTGCAAAGAAACATTCGGCTCGTTCAGACAAATTCCAAGAGCGAGGACGAAAAGGTATTTTTGTTGGATATCCTCATGGACAAAAAGGTTGGAGAATTTATGATCTTGAATTGAATGAATTTTTTGTCTCTCGTGATGTTATCTTTCAAGAAGATTGTTTTCCCTTTGCTGCGAACAAGAATGTCGTTACAGAATCTCCATCTCCTAATGGCATTCCATCTCCGTTTTTGGCTTATGATGATGACACGGAACAGAGTAATGTTGTTCCTCCTGAAACTCCTCTTCCGCCTCCTCTTCCAGTCAATGATTCACCTCCAAGCTCTCCTATTAATACGGTCACTCCAGTTGTTGCGCATCCTGTTCCTCTTCGTCGCGGGCTGCGAAATAGACAAGAGTCTGTTCGTCTTAAAGACTATGAAACTTATGCGGTGCAATGTGATCCTATCTCTGTTTCACTAATACCCGATCCTTTCTCCGACAATATTGGTACGTGTGTATATCCTATGGCTAACTTTGTGTCTTGTGAACGGTTCTCTGAGAGTCATAAACACTTCTTAGCTGCAATAAGCATATTTGATCCACCGCTCACATATAATCAAGCTGTTCAAGAAAAAGAATGGCGCAATGCTGTCTCCTTTGAAGTTGATGCTCTTGAAGATCAAGGTACTTGGGATATTACAAAGCTTCCTCCTGGAGTTAAAGCTATTGGTTCTAAGTGGGAATTTCGCATTAAATACAACTCTGACGGCACTATAGAACGCTACAAAGCTCGACTTGTAGCTTTGGGAAATCATCAAAAAGAAGGTGTTGATTTTACTGAAACCTTTGCTCCGGTTGTTAAGATGCAAACTGTGAGACTTCTCTTGGACGTAGCGGCAGCAAAAAATTGGGAACTTCATCAAATGGATGTTCATAACGCCTTTCTTCACGGCGATTTGAAAGAAGACATCTATATGAAACCACCTCCGGGATTCAAGACAACAGATCCTTCTCTCGTTTGCAAATTAAAAAAATCTATCTACGGTTTGAAGCAAGCGCCTCGCTGTTGGTTCGAAAAGCTATCCACATCTCTCATCAAGTTTGGCTTCGTTCAGTCCAAAAAGGATTACTCTTTCTTTACGTCAATCCAAGGATCAAAAGTTCTACATGTCATCGTATATGTCGACGATCTTGTCATTTGCGGCAATGATGCTTCTGTTATAGCCAAATTCAAAGTCTATCTCAGCCAATATTTCAAAATGAAAGATCTTGGTCATTTGAAATACTTCTTAGGTATTGAAGTAGCAAGAAGTCCAGAAGGTATATTTTTATCTCAAAGGAAATATTGTCTTGATGTTATAGAAGAATGTGGACTTTCTGGTTCACGGCCTGCGGAGACGCCATTGGAACAAAATCATAAACTAGCTTCCTCCACAAGTTCGCTATTCCCAGAACCAGACAAGTATCGTAGACTTGTGGGAAGACTCGTTTATCTCACCCATACTAAGCCGGAGATATCCTATGCAGTTAATATGCTGGCACAATTTATGCAGCAACCACTATCCGACCATTGGGATGCAGCTCTCAGACTTGTTCGATACTTAAAAGGCTGTCCCGGACAAGGTATCCTCCTCTCCTCCGCCTCTAACTTACAGCTTACGGGCTATAGTGATTCTGATCATGCGGGCTGTCCGCTAACACGACGATCTTTGACGGGCTATTTGGTGAAACTTGGTAACTCTCCGGTCTCCTGGAAAACTAAGAAACAAGACAAAGTTTCCCGCTCTTCAGCTGAAGCAGAATATCGTGCCATGGCCATGACATGTCAAGAACTTATGTGGGTTAAAGAAGTTCTCCTCTCGCTTGGTGTTTCGCATGATCAGCCTATGCATCTAGTTTGTGACAGTCAATCTGCTCTTCATATTGCTTCGAATCCTGTGTTTCACGAAAGAACGAAACATATAGAAACTGATTGTCATTTTATACGAGACGAGTATACTGCTGGCAACTTAGCATTCTCTCACGTCTCTACCACTGTTCAGCCAGCTGACATTTTCACGAAAGCTCTCGGAAGCCAACAGTTTCGATTTCTACGGGACAAGTTGGGCGTTTGTAATCTCCACGCTCCAACTTGGGGGGGGAGTGTTACGATAAGGATACATTCCTTATTAGATATATGTTAATATTCTTGTGTATATTAGTTTAGATCTCTATACCTAACATCTTGTACTATATATACTTAGATCATTGATCAATAATAATCAAGGAATTCTATTGACTTTGGCACCTTTCTAAAACTATTCTAAAGGCACAATCCAAAATTACCGCATGGATTAGAAATTCAGCTTTTCCTCGGCACACTACCGCTCATTCCTAATCTTCGCTCCAATTATCGTCTTCCTGGTTTAAAACCAAATTTTCTGGTTGTGAAATGCAACTTCGATGGAGGTTATATTCTCTGAACTCTTCAAGCTACAAGTGGGTGGATAATCCAAGATGATCAAAGTACCCTTTGACTTGGGGTTCATTTCATCTCAACGACGTCTGTTCTCCTTTGGAAGCGGAAACAAAAGCTTTATTAGCGGTGACGCAACAAACTTGGATATGTAGTTTTAAGTCGGTATGCTTTGAAGGACATTGTGAAATACTCATTATCTTAATTAGTGGATCCTCGTTTCATAGCAAGATTGGAAATAGGGCATCAAAATTCTCTTTAGTACGTTTTACTTTCACTAAACATTTTTGTAATAGTGTATAGCTCATCATTTAGCCAAACATGGTTGTTTTTTTACTGATTTTTATTCGCAGTCTGTATGCTAGCCGTTGTGGCTTCTGCAACTTTTTTATAAATATCGTTCAAATTAATATAATTTTTTTCCGACGAAAAAAAAGTTTATTTAACATGAAATAAAAACATCTAATACTATTTTAGTATTATATTTTTTGGAAAGTTTAACAAATATGTTTATAATTAACATTAAACATAATCTGAAAATATGCTTAAAACCTTACGATATGCTTAAAACATAATAAAATTTAGAAAACATAATCTGAAATATGCGTAAAACCTTACGACATATAGATATTGAACTGGTGTAAGATGATTCGTTTTGATAATTCGATTTAACGGATTTTTGACATTTTTTGATGATATTTTTTATCTGTTTTGAAAGCTTTTGGAATGTATAAAAACTCAACCCAACAACTAATTCCAGTTCGTTGGCGTGTGTATATTGTAAATTAACACACGTTCTTATTTAAAATGAGAAAGAGAGGAGACTTTAGCACGAATGAAAAAGAAACAGACTACTACCTCTTTAAATTTTTAGGATAAACAATAATGAGACTTAGTACTTCATTTCCTAACTCATCGTGTGTTCCATTTTTATAGTTCTTTAATCATTTCTTCTAAAGTCACCACTTCGTGACTTCCTCTAATCTCAGGTTCGACAAGGAGCTTTCTACCGCTACGGTTGAAGTTGAAATGTTTTGAAATTTCCTATTAATATAAGCTGATTAGACGACGAAGTAGAAATGGTTGAAAGAGATGGTTAGAAACAATGATTCGATTAAAAAATAGTTGGTTACCCTTACCAAATCATCCGTCTTTTATCAAAAAGATATAACTACCAATCATCCAAAGATATATTTTGGTACTGTCTATATTTTCAGGCATTTGTAATTCTTTATTTATCTATTTATATTTATTTTTCAAAATTTTAGAAAAAACTCAAAATATGATTAAAAAAAACTCCGTCACTACTTTTTTTCTTTTAATCTAAAAGATTTTGGTGTAATTCTGTACATTTCCAAAAACCGAGATCAATTTTAATAAATTACCATTCTTAACAAAAATCAAAAGTCCGAGAAAAAAATAAAAAATAATCAAAACCCATGTTCCATCAAGTACTTGCGTTTTTGATTTACTATTGCATTCAACCACTAATCCAATGTCACATTGGTAATTTGTGTATTTTTCTTCTTGTTTTAAGGTAAGAAAAATATAGAGGTGGAAAATAAAAAATAAACAAGGAACATGTATATTATTATTATTATTATTATTACCTTATTAATTAATAGATAATTTAATTATTATATTACTTTTCAACATTGACTCTGTCCCGTACTTGGAATTCCACGGCAAAGACTAGTTTCGTTTGCCGGTTGAGACACTGATTTCATTCTCGCGCTCTTTCTCTCGCCATCTCCGGTCTCTCTCTGACCATCTTCATCTTCTTCAATCCTCAGGCAAAAATTTCTCAAGATTACCAAAAAAACCGCCATTTATAAGAACACCACAGCCGTTACCACCTAAAACAGTGAAAGCTTTTTTCTTGATTTCCGAGCAATTCATCGGAAACTTCCCAACTCCGAAGCTAGGGTTTCAAATTTCACCTTTTTGTTAAAGAATTTGATAAAGAAGATTAAGTACAATTGTGGGTTTTGGAGTTAGCACGGAATTTGATGGTTAGAACGGCGGAGACTTCACGTAGTCTTGTTTGCTTAGAATGACCGGTGCTGCTCCACCGTACGATCGGAGAGGGTTTGGGTATTTTGGTAAAGCTCTCTCATGGAATGGCAGATCTTGTGAGTTATGGTAATGTCGTCCGAGACATCGAGCAGGTCCAATTCTTCTTCTTTTTTTTCTCTGTGTTTTTATATGTATGTCTCTGTTTTGATGAAACACATAATCTTTGTTTTGTTGATCTTAGGCTTAATAGATGTTGTCTGAAATTTTGCCTTTTTTGAATTGGTTAGGGTTTATGTCTTCTAAAGTGATTAGAATTTAGCATTTAAATGTCAACGTGAATGAATACTATATCTCATTTCAAGATCTTTACAAAAGCCCTTCCGTATATTTTGCAGGCTCTAATTGCATTGAAGAAAGGTGCTCAATTGTTGAAATATGGTCGGAAAGGAAAGCCTAAGTTTTGTCCATTTAGACTCTCCAATGTGAGTGTGCTCTAGATTAAATGGATTACATTTGAGATGATGTCCTCGATTTTTTTGTATCCTTGTGTTTGGTCACGTATCAACCTTTTAATCTTACAACCTTGGACATGTTATTTGCAGGATGAGACATCTTTGATCTGGATTTCAAATGGTGGAGAAAAACGTTTAAAGTTAGCAACTGTATCTAAGATTGTTCCAGGACAGCGAACTGTAACTTCTCTTTAACATTCTACTCTCTGTTTTGATACAGCATTATACAAAGGCAGCAAAATTTCTAGTCTTTGTTTAACTTTGATCACGTTTATACTATCAGGCTGTTTTCCAACGTTACCTTCGCCCGGATAAGGATTATTTATCTTTTTCACTCATATACTCCAACAGGAAGCGGACTCTTGATTTGGTTAGTGAATAAAACTCAGTTACTTTCTCTTCACCGTGTATTGTATGCCTCTGTATATGTGAAGTGAAAAGGTTGCTGTATTTTCAGATTTGCAAGGACAAAGTTGAGGCAGAGGTGTGGATAGCTGGCCTAAAAGCTTTGATATCTGGTCAGGCTGGCCGCTCTAAAATTGACGGCTGGAGTGATGGAGGCCTTTCTATTGCTGTAAGTAATAAGCATTCCTAAAGCTGACAGCGACAATATTATTGATGTTGCAAATGTATTTCTCTCTTCTCAAAATAAGTCTCATTTAGATTTTCCTGAACTTTGTTTTGTTTCATTTTCCTCATTTCCAGGACAGCAGAGACTTGACATTAAGCAGTCCTACCAACAGCTCAGTTTGTGCTTCTCGAGATTATAACATTGCTGAGACTCCCTACAATTCAACCGCTTTTCCCCGGACTTCTAGAACTGAGAATTCTGTCAGTTCTGAACGGTCACATGTGGCATCAGATAGCCCAAATATGTTAGTACGAGGACCTGGATCAGACGTGTTCCGGGTTAGTGTTTCTAGTGTTCAAAGCAGCTCAAGTCATGGTTCTGCTCCAGATGATTGTGATGCTCTAGGTGATGTTTATATATGGGGTGAAGTGCTATGTGATAATGTTGCCAAATTCGGGGCTGATAAGAATGCTACTTGTGTTGGTTCAAGGTCTGATGTTCTGATTCCAAAGCCGTTAGAATCCAATGTAGTTTTGGATGTCCATCACATAGCATGTGGTGTTAGGCATGCTGCTCTAGTCTCTAGGCAAGGTGAGGTTTTTACATGGGGTGAAGCATCCGGAGGACGTCTTGGCCATGGAATGGGAAAAGATGTTACTGGGCCACAGCTTATTGAGTCTCTAGCTGCTACTAGTGTTGACTTTGTTGCCTGTGGTGAGTTCCATACATGCGCTGTCACAATGACAGGAGAGATTTACACATGGGGTGATGGAACACACAATGCAGGACTTCTCGGCCATGGTACCGATGTGAGTCACTGGATACCTAAGAGAATATCAGGTCCTCTTGAAGGTCTTCAAATTGCTTCCGTATCCTGTGGACCATGGCACACCGCTTTGATAACATCAACTGGACAGCTTTTTACTTTTGGAGATGGGACTTTTGGTGTTTTAGGGCATGGTGACAAGGAAACTGTATTTTATCCAAGAGAAGTTGAATCTTTATCTGGTTTGCGGACTATTGCTGTTGCATGTGGTGTATGGCATGCTGCTGCAATAGTAGAAGTCATTGTCACTCAGTCAAGTTCAAGTATTTCATCAGGAAAGCTGTTCACATGGGGTGATGGTGACAAGAGCCGTCTTGGTCATGGAGATAAAGAGTCTCGGCTTAAACCCACTTGTGTATCAGCTCTAATTGACCATACTTTTCATAGAGTTGCATGTGGACATAGTTTAACAGTTGGTTTGACCACATCGGGAAAAGTTTACACGATGGGTAGTACAGTTTATGGTCAACTAGGGAATCCCAATGCTGATGGGAAGCTTCCTTGCTTAGTAGAGGATAAACTAATTAAGGATTGTGTTGAAGAAATAGCATGCGGAGCTTATCATGTAGCAGTTTTAACATCTCGAAATGAAGTATTTACATGGGGGAAGGGTGCCAATGGGAGATTAGGTCATGGAGATATTGAGGACCGTAAGGCACCAACTCTTGTCGATACTTTGAAAGAGAGACATGTAAAAAATATTGCCTGTGGTTCAAACTTCACAGCAGCAATATGTCTTCATAAATGGGTTTCTGGTACTGAGCAATCTCAATGTTCAGCTTGTAGACAGGCTTTCGGATTCACACGAAAAAGGCACAATTGTTACAACTGTGGACTTGTCCACTGCCATTCATGCAGTTCCAAGAAATCACTAAAAGCTGCTTTGGCCCCTAATCCAGGCAAGCCTTATCGTGTCTGCGATTCATGTTACTCTAAACTAAGTAAAGTGTCAGAAGCTAGTACTGATAGCAGAAAGAATATTATGCCACGACTTTCCGGTGAGAACAAGGACAGATTGGATAAAGCCGAGATAAGATTGGCTAAATCAGGAATACCATCAAATATAGATTTGATCAGGCAGCTGGATAGCAGGGCAGCTAGACAAGGAAAGAAGGCGGATACATTCTCTCTTGTCCGCACTTCCCAAACACCTCTAACTCAACTTAGAGATGCTCTGACTAATGTGGCTGACTTACGGCGTGGGCCACCAAAACCAGCAGTAACTCCATCTGGAGCAAGCTCCAGATCTGTGTCACCTTTCTCAAGGAGGTCTAGTCCTCCTCGTTCAGTCACTCCCATTCCTTTGACGGCTGGTCTTGGTTTTTCAACAAGTATAGCTGAGAGTTTGAAGAAGACAAATGAACTTCTGAATCAGGAAGTAGTCAAATTGCGCGCCCAGGTAAACTCGCCCTTGAACCATTATCCTTTTCTTCCTCATTTGTCTAAACTCTTAAATTTTCCTCAATTTATTCATCTGAATTTGTTTCCATAAGTTCTTGTGATTTGTTTTTAAAATGAATATGTGATATTGTGTTCAGGCCGAGAGTCTGAGGCACAGATGCGAGGTCCAAGAATTCGAAGTTCAGAAATCTGTGAAAAAAGTACAAGAAGCAATGAACCTGGCAGCAGAGGAATCTGCCAAATCAGAAGCCGCAAAAGAAGTTATAAAATCTCTGACAGCTCAGGTTTTGGCTTGATTCTCTTATATATTTCTCTTAAACTGTCTGTGTATTCGATAAGTCTCTGTGTGATATATTCATTCTTGACATATGATTCCCTCTAAGTTTTCTTGTTTATTTCTAGCACCCCCTTCCTTGAAAATCTTGGATATTTTTTACTGTTTCTTCGCTAAAAATTCCTAATGATCTTTCCAGGTCAAGGATATAGCTGCGCTGTTACCACCGGGTGCTTACGAAGCTGAGACCACACGGACAGCTAATTTATTGAACGGGTTTGAGCAAAACGGATTTCACTTTGCTAATGCAAATGGACAGCGTCAATCACGATCTGATTCAATGAGTGACACCTCACTTGCTTCGCCTATGGCTATGCCCGCTCGTTCAATGAATGGACTCTGGCGAAATTCCCAGTCGCCAAGAAACACAGATGCAAGCATGGGCGAACTTCTAAGTGAGGGGGTCCGAATCAGTAATGGTTTCTCAGAAGATGGTGACAACCGCCGAAACTCAAGAAGCTCAGCAGCCTCAGCTTCAAATGCTTCTCAAGTGGAGGCGGAGTGGATCGAACAGTATGAACCTGGTGTTTATATAACACTATTGGCCCTAGGCGATGGAACTAGAGATCTCAAACGTGTGCGCTTTAGGTAACATTATATAATCAACCCACTCCGTATCTTGATATATTCTAGAGATCAAGACTAATACCATACCATTGTGTTTATTTGCAGCCGGCGAAGATTCAGGGAGCATCAGGCAGAAGCATGGTGGTCAGAGAATCGCGAAAGAGTGTACGAGAAGTACAACATTCGTGGTACGGATAGATCAAGCGTGGCAACATCACCTATATCACAATCTCAATTCCAGACATGAACCAAAAACAACGACGAATGCAAAAGCTTAGGAAGCAGTTAGCCTTATTTTGATGAATGTAGAGCTCCATTCTCCGGCATTGCACTGTATATAGCGAATCTCTCGCTCTATTTGCAAATAGTTTGTCATGAATTTCATGATTGTTTTAACTAATTGACTCAAATCTGATGATGATAACTATTTTAACTTGAAAGTGGTTAGCCAACTTCACTGCGCTCAGCTTTGGTCAATAGGGATGAACTGATCGGCAACATTTATAAATAGGTTTGGTTATTGGTTCATCGAACGGCCGGTTATTGTTTTTTTCTAATTTTTCTAACCACGTATACCAAAATTCTTTCAAAATCGATCTCAGAACAAAATCATGTTTTTGTACGGATTTAGACACATAACCAAACCGATACAAACCAAAATTTTGTTCGGTTATATTCGGTAGCTTTACCTCTCAACCGAATTACCCATAGATCGACTACCCGGCTCAAACCGAACCGTTCGGTCCGTCCATCGTCCCAGGCTTAAAATTAATTTATTGCCGTTTGAGCTATTTACTACGAATCATCCTTTTTTAGCTCTCCGTCTTCAACTTCATGCCGTTTAGAAATTTCCTTACTACACTGCCCGCTGTTTCTTTCTCTTAAGTATCAGTCATCATCTTTATGTTTGGTTCTCCTTCCTCAAGCTTCACCCAAATCAGCAATGGAAGCTAGACTCTCCGAAACTCTTGGCCTCCCATCACCGAATCTTAATCACTGCCATTTTCCCAACGATTTCAATTCCCTCTTCACTCATTTCTCCGATCTCACCTCCGTCCAAAGCCCTATCGTCAGAAACCCTAAACCTAAAACCAAATTCTCTCAAAAATCACCAAACTTTTCAGCAAATTTCAGAAGATCCGACCCACTATTTGCATCAACATCAATCTCGGATCCAATCCACGCGAAACCCGGACCCGAATTCCTGAAATGGATCAAACCAGCATCACGAAGCAGTCCAAAAATTCAAACACTCATGAAACAACTCTCCGTCTGGGAACGTGCCATCATCGGTGCCGGAGCCGGTGGACTCGCCGGAGCTTTTACGTACGTTGCTCTTCTCCCACTTGACGCAATCAAAACCAAGCTTCAGACCAAAGGCGCTTCTCAGGTTTATCGCAACACATTTGATGCTATAGTTAAGACATTTCAAGCTAAAGGTGTTTTAGGTTTCTACAGTGGTGTCTCCGCCGTGATTGTTGGCTCTACGTTTTCCTCCGCCGTGTATTTTGGTACTTGTGAGTTTGGTAAGTCTCTCCTCTCCAAATTCCCGGATTTTCCGACGGTTTTAATCCCGCCTACTGCTGGTGCTATGGGAAACATAATCTCGTCGGCGATAATGGTTCCTAAAGAGCTCATTACACAGAGAATGCAAGCTGGAGCTAGTGGGAGGTCGTACCAAGTTTTGCTTAAGATACTTGAGAAAGATGGAATCTTGGGGCTTTATGCCGGTTATTCGGCTACATTGTTGAGGAATTTACCGGCTGGTGTACTAAGTTATTCGTCGTTTGAGTATCTGAAAGCCGCGGTTTTGGAGAAAACGCAGCAGAGCCATCTTGAGCCTTTGCAGAGTGTTTGTTGTGGTGCGTTGGCTGGTGCGATATCTGCTTCGATAACTACACCATTAGATGTGGTGAAGACTAGGTTGATGACGCAGATTCATGTGGAGGCAGTGAATAAACTTGGTGCTGCTATGTATACTGGTGTTGCTGGAACAGTGAGACAGATATTGAAAGAGGAAGGTTGGGTTGGTTTTACCCGTGGCATGGGGCCTAGAGTTGTTCACAGCGCTTGTTTCTCAGCGATCGGTTATTTTGCGTTTGAGACTGCGAGGCTTACAATCTTGAATGAATATTTGAAAAGGAAAGAAGATTCTGAAGCTACCGTTGCTGCTGATTCTTGAGTTTGCTTTTTGGTATAGTCAGATGAACAGAGAGAGTTTCTCCTTGTTTCTGAAGAGAAGCATCAAGCTTTGTCTAGAACCAAGCTTGGATTCTAAGAGGTTACTGTGGCAGATTGTGAGAGCTTTGTTCTTTCTAAGATTTGCTTCTTTTTTCTGTTGGGTTTAGTGTTTCCTCAGTTTTGATTTTCTCACAATTACATTGTTCACATTTGTGTAAGACGATCTTTAATCATTTCTGTTCCCAAATTTTCCATTGAAGAGAATTACTGTAGTAAGTAATAATAACTTGACTCTTTTACTAGTTTAAAGGTTTAAAACTGACTTTTGGTTATCTTGTTATATGATTTCATTGCTCCTAATCAGCAGAACCATGTATAGCAGCATTTTCCTGGTTGATTCAACTTTGAATAGCTTCCCATTTTTCACATAGTAATTCACTTTTTTTTGCTTCATTCTCATTGTAGCTTTATTCATTCTCATTTTTGTCTATAGAACCAAGCGCTTATAAAATTATCTTCTTGTACATTTCATTGCAAAACCATCTTGGAGTTAATAATCGATTTATAGTTTTCTCTGCTTCTCTTAACCAAAGATCAAATTCAAGAAAATAACACAAACCACATGACACGAGAACCAAGATGAATCATCATCACTCTCTCTTCTTCTTCTACGTAATTCTCTTCCTTTCCCAAGATTTTCCCACACTTTCTCACCGTTTCTCGCCGCCGCTACACAACTTAACTCTCTACGGCGACGCCTTCTTCCGCGACCGTACAATCTCCCTAACCCAACAACAACCTTGCTTTCCCTCCGCCACAACACCGCCGTCAAAACCAACCTCCTCCGGCATCGGACGAGCTCTCTACGTATACCCAATTAAGTTTCTTGAACCTTCCACTAACACAACCGCTTCTTTCTCATGCCGCTTCTCCTTCTCCATCATCGCTTCTCCTTCTTGCCCTTTTGGTGACGGCTTCGCTTTCTTGATCACATCTAATGCTGACTCATTTGTCTTCTCTAATGGCTTCTTGGGTCTACCAAATCCGGATGATTCTTTCATCGCCGTCGAGTTTGATACTGGATTTGACCCGGGTCACGGTGATATCAACGGTAACCACGTTGGAATCGATGTTAATTCAATCTTCTCCGTTGCTTCCGTTGATGCGATTTCAAAAGGGTTTGATCTTAAGAGTGGGAGAGAGATGATGGCGTGGATTGAGTATAGTGATGTTCTTAAACTCATTAGGGTTTGGATTGGGTATTCTCGTGTTAAGCCTACGAGTCCTGTTTTATCAACACAGATTGATCTCTCTGGTAAAGTTAAGGAGTATATGCACGTTGGGTTCTCTGCTTCGAATGCTGGTGTTGGGTCAGCTTTGCATATCGTTCAGAGGTGGAAATTTACGACCTTTGGGTCTCATTCTGATGCGATTCAAGAAGAGGAGGAGGAAGATGAAGGGTGTTTGGTCTGCTCAGGGGAAGTTTTCGAGAATCCGATGGGAATTCATCGTAAAGGTTTTGGCTTTAGGGTTTCAGTTGTTGGATTTAAGATACCATTTTGGAGTCTTTTACCTGGTATGGCTGCAATTGTTATTCTCGTGGCGTTTATTGTTTTCTCATTGATTTCTGGCAAGAAAAGGATTAGTGAAGGAGCTGATACGAATTCGGGGATTAATAGGATGCCGGGAAGGTTATCCTTGGCTGAGATCAAATCCGCAACATCGGGATTCAATGAGAACACAATCGTGGGTCAAGGGGCTTCAGCTACTGTGTACAGAGGCTCCATTCCTTCTATCGGATCAGTGGCCGTGAAGCGCTTTGATCGAGATCACTGGCCACAGTGCAACCGTAACCCTTTTACCACAGAGTTCACCACAATGACTGGTTACTTGCGGCACAAGAATCTGGTTCAGTTCCAGGGGTGGTGCAGCGAAGGAACAGAGACGGCCTTAGTGTTTGAGTACTTGCCCAACGGAAGTTTAAGTGAATTCCTACACAAGAAACCCTCATCGGATCCATCAGAAGAGTTCATAGTCCTCTCTTGGAAGCAGCGGGTAAACATCATTCTCGGTGTGGCTTCCGCACTTACTTATCTACACGAAGAATGTGAGAGACAGATCATCCACCGTGACGTCAAGACCTGTAACATAATGCTTGATGCCGAGTTTAACGCTAAGCTTGGTGATTTCGGGTTAGCTGAGATTTACGAGCACAGTGCGTTGCTAGCTGGACGAGCTGCTACACTCCCAGCAGGTACTATGGGTTACTTGGCACCTGAATACGTGTACACAGGTGTGCCCTCTGAAAAAACCGACGTGTACAGCTTTGGAGTTGTGGTTCTGGAAGTGTGTACGGGGCGTAGGCCGGTGGGGGATAACGGGACGGTGCTTGTAGACCTGATGTGGAGCCTCTGGGAGACAGGGAAGGTCCTGGATGGTGCTGACATCATGCTGAGGGAAGAGTTCGATGCAGAGGAAATGGAAAGGGTGTTGATGGTTGGGATGGTTTGTGCGCATCCTGACTGTGAGAAGCGGCCAAGGGTGAAGGAGGCTGTGAGGATTATACGCGGGGAGGCGCCGTTGCCAGTTCTTCCGGCGAGGAGGCCTTTGTTGAGAATCCGGTCGGCTATGGAAGCGGAAGAGATGATTGTCGATGGTTTGGGTCGGGAGGATCTTACTTGGATGACGCCTAAATCGCACTTTAGCTAATTGTTTTTTTTGGGGCTTTCTGGAATTGGTAAACATTTTGGGTTTTATTTGGAAATTTGGACGCTTTTTTAATTGGTCTAGTGTTGGAATCTAAATACTCTTTTCGTTTGTAAACTCCACGGGAAAATGGCTATTTCATATTTCTTTTTTTCTTTCTAAATGGCTATTTCATATTTCAAATGAAGAATACATTCCATTTATACATCAAGTATATGAGAGCATTTTCATTAAAAGAAATTTTCAAATAAATCGCTATATTTATTATGAATAATATGGGTATTATGTGGTTGTTCATTATAAGTCCGTTAGAAGGTTGTAGACTACTTAATCTCTAACGTAAACCCTAATATTATATCCCTATATCTATATATGTTGTATCTTGTAGCATATATCAATAACAGAGAGAACAATATCCGAAACTTCTTTGTTCATAACACGTTATCAGCACGAAACTCTAACTGTTTGAGCGAAATAAATCTATATCAAAACATTAGTCGCTTGAGATAAAAGAGATCTCCATCGAAAAACCATAACTGACGCCGTTTCCGTTTGTGACGTCGTCTCCGTCTCACAAAACACATATCCAGATAAATACCATTAATTATCTAATAAACTTGTTATTAGCTACGTGATGTTGATTAGTTAGAGATTTGTGGAAAATCGTTGATTTGATGATGCGATCCTCGGTGAGAAGATCCAGTCCCTTGAAGTCTCTTTGTATGGATTGTGATAAGTGATGGTGGATCCGTGGTGAACAAGACAAATGGATGATGAAGTGAAGGGGCTGAGAACGAAATGGGGATGTCTTGCGGATCGAGTGTTACTTCCAGAGGTTGTGGAATAGCCTCTAGACTAACGAGCTTGCTTAGGCTTGGATATGTCACACCAAACGGTCACAAGTTGAAGAGATATTACACACCCTTCAGATCAAACAATTTGGAAAAGATTTTGATAATAAAAAGTTTGATAAGTTCTCATAAGAGAATACATAGAGAATATATAGAGGAGAAGGTGAAGAGAGAATGTAGGAAACGAGACAAGTCTTGGAACATGCTCCAAGGCTGCCTAGAAACACAACAGAATTTAAAATAGAGTTTGAATTCGAAAATAACCCTTCATCTTCTTTAAAGCCACGAAATTGTCTCCTTTATTTGATGGGCTTGGGTCTTGAATCATCAAATGGATTATATGAAGTGAAATCATAAGCCTCATTAAAAACCTCCCTTTGGAAAACCCATTGGGACAAAACCAAAGGCAGGGAAAAAGAGCACTCATGAAATCACTTGTCCATTTGATGAGGTCCTTGAGCTTGGATCAATACCATAGAAGTAGTGACTTGGCTCAAGTCATTTGGTCGGTCCCAAATGTGGTTAAGCATTCCCCCGATGGCTTGGTTGAATAACTTAACTCTAGAACGAGTCATCGGACCAACGGGTGTGACTAAAGCTTCCTCGGCTACAAGCACCTCCTCAACTACAAGCTTAGCTCCTTCCGGTTCAAGCTGCTCCTTAGCTCCAATTTCCTTATGCTCAAGCTGCTCCTTTGTTCCTATTTTCTCGGGTTCAAGCTGCTGGTCCATTATCATATCATCCCCTCCCTCTTCAAAAAGATTTGACCTCAAATATGCTTCACCTGAAACAAAAGGCATAGATCAGCAACATTAAAACTATTACTCACATTATACTTACCTTGCAAATCCAATTGGTAGGCGTTGTTGTTGATCTTCTTGATGATTTTAAATGGTCCATCCATCCTTGGCATCGGCTTGGACTTTCTTTCTTTCGGAAATCTTTCCTTCCTTAGGTGAATCCACACCAAGTCTCCTTCTTCAAAAACTATCTCCTTTCGGCTCTTATTAGCTTGACTAGCATACTTCTTCGTTTTCTCTTCAATATTCAACCTTGCTTTCTCATGAATCTATTTCACCATTTCTGCCTTCTTTTTCCCATCCATACTAACTCTTTCACTCAAAGGTAAAGGCATTAAATCCAAAGGAGAGACGGGATTGAATCCATAAACAATTTCAAAAGGTGAAAACTTAGAGGCATAATGAACAGCATGATTATATGGAAATTCAGCATGAGGCAAACAATCTTCCCAAGTTTTAAGGTTCTTTTTATTCAATGCTCTTAGGAGTGTAGACAAAGTCCTATTAACTACCTCAGTTTGACCATCAGTTTGCGGGTGAAAAGTAGTAGAAAACAGTAGCTTAGTACATAGCTTAGACCACAAAGTCTTCCAAAAATAACTAAGAAACTTAGTATCACGATCAGAGACTATGGACTTAGGCATACCATGTAAACGCACAATTTCCCTAAAGAACAAGCTAGCAACATTCATGGCATCATAAGTTTTATGACAAGGAATAAAATAAGCCATTTTAGAGAACCTATCCACAAATATAGAATCCTTACCAGTCCTAGTCCTAGGCAAACCAACAACAAAATCCATAGAAATGTCATGCCATGGATGCAAAGGAATAGGTAGTGGAGTATACAAACCGTGGGGTTGTGATGTAGCCTTAGCCATTTTACATGTTGTACATCTTTCACAACACTTCTCTACGTCTCTTTTCATGTTTGGCCAATG